TGATGAGTCTACGTCCAGGAGGCCTAATTTAGTCCACTTTACCTCTCCACCCTTTTTTATTATGGAAGGATGGAAAGTGGAAGTGGACTTTCTGGACGAGGACTGCATGGCAAGGGAGGATATTTTCTTTCTGGATGCACAGATCTCCTCCGTCGATTAAAGGTAGGCAACGCATATGCAATTGCGTATGTCTATGGGCAATGGTCACTTCGCTATTTCAGCGATAATAGGTGGCCGCTCGCTCGTTTGCCACCTTATGATATAAAAAAAAGTTATATGCTACGAAAAAAATTTATCTGTCGCAAGATCATTTCAGATGACTATTCCTATACACTAAATTGAATAACAATAGAAAATAGAAACGAACATTTGGCTTAGTACTTATCGGTCCGACCACTAATCCGGTCTATTCGGATCAATAATGTCACAGACACGCGTTGCTTTATTGAGTCACGGTACATCAAAGTTCCCTTTATGTTTGTCGCCTACTTATGCAATTACAAGTCGGACAAGCGGCGACGGGCCTTGTGCTCTTTTCTATTGTCGACGCGTGTTAACGATGAATCCGCAAACGTTTTTCGTGATCATTACTGTATTGCTATTCGTCATTTCGTTGTAATTGTTATTTTAAGCTGTCAATATTGCGACACCATTCATGCAATTTAAAGAATATGTCATGTCATGTAATATGTGATTTATCTTCCTGGCCGCGGAGATATGAATTCATTCGATTCCTACTTTGAAACTTAACAATAAGACATAGAGTAAAGTAGCCTACTTACATGCGCCGAATTGTTGCCTCTGCGAAAGTTATGACGTCAATAGTGAGGCAGGTCATGATCACTTGCACTTTCAATGAAAAGTAAAAGTGAAATTGAAATTTTAATGGTCTGTAAAGCCAATTAAATTACGACTCAATATTTTATGAATTCATGAATGAATTCAACGTTATATTAATGCTTTATTTTGAAATATGATTTATTATAAATTATTGTTTATTATTTTATCGCTCTCAATAGTAAGATAATTGGTATATGATAGCAAGTTATTATGTAATAAATTTAGGAGTTGTGACCAATGATGTTACATGAAATAAAAGCGAAGTTTACTTTTTAGATAACGAAATACATTGAGCATTTCTGCAAGATATTTTATTAAATAAGAAGTCTTGACAAATATAATAAAAATAGGTTAATGAACTAGAAAAGAGTAATTATACAATGCGCGTGAGAAATTAGTCAACCACGAATGAATACAATGGATAAAAAGATTATAATAAGCTCACCTCGCTTAACAATGCACTTTGAATTAATAATGATGAGTAAATGACCCTTTTTATTAATTTTGAATAAATATTTAACAACCAGCTGTTGTCCGCGACTCTGCCCGAGCGTAATTAATAAAAAAATAATTATTAGCCTATGTGTTTTTCTAGACTCTGTTCTACATCTATGCCAAGTTTCAGCGAGATCCATCCAGCCGTTTATATAGGGTAAAGGGCTGTTTTTAGGGTTTTCCCGGCTATAATTTGTCTCACCCACCTTTTAAACCTTCCTTACTCCACGAAGATTTCAAGACCAAGAAAAATTAAAAATTTTAGTGACACTTACAGCAATTGATTATTATACATAGATTTCAATATTTAAATGGGCATCATTATATCATACCATTTTTTGAAATTAGAATGTATTTGCCGTTTATGCCACTTCGAGTTTGTATTTATATCAAAAATTACATTAAATATAAAAACAAAAAGCAGTATACTCTTATGAGCTTTTAGAAACGTGCTAAGAGTATTTTATTAACTTTACTCATATTGCAGAACGCTTTATTAAAATAAAGGAGCCGTAAAACTTATACTAAGAATACGCTATAAATTGAAATAATTGAATAATAAATTAATTATATAGTTTATATATATTTTTGAATTATATACCAATTAAAAAAGCTTCAAGACACGTAATTGACAAAGTTATGAATTGCCGTTAAAATCTTTTATAGTCTTGTACTAGCTGTCGCCTGCGATTCCGTCCAAGCGGAAAAAAAACCTTTCAAAAATAAAAAAAAAATCATTCAGTTCCGTTGAGTTGTTTCGGAGATACCTCGTAAAAATCATTCAACTATCCATCCAAACATTCGTATTTAATATAAGTAAGATTTCCAACCAACGTAACAACCAAAGTGAATCTACTTATATTTTTTTTATATAAAAGACTGTCATATTACTACACTAACTTATAAATGAATTAATAATGACATGAGAACTAAAAAGTTTTAGTGATCATTGCAACTATGAGAGTTCAGAGCATCCGTGAAGTTCACTGACCTCAATCACTTTTAACCACAAAAGCATCTTGCTTAACTTTTTTTACTTAATAGTTTTTGTTTATATGTAGAAAGAACAATTTCTCGTACCAGATAGTAATTGTAACTTTTACATTGTATGTAAAAATATGGTTTTAGAAACTTACAATTACAACTAAGTTACTGCTTCGTGTGCAAAGGACAAAAATATCTTAAAAAAATTTCCCTAAACAATATACTAATAAACGAAGGTAATTCATCTTTAGTATAATTTGCAGGGATTTACATGTTTTTGTGTCATATATAAATTCGATATGCCTATAGCTTAAACAGATCATATGATTTAGAAATGTGAAGTGTTGTGATTTGTATTTTCTCCGAGATGTTCCAATTTAGTCAGCCGGAATACTTTTAATTACCAGTTATTATCAATTTCCCATCTAATCTAATCGTAAAGAAGAAAACACATATAATCTTCTTTTTCTAATTTATTATTGATACAAACATATATGTAAGTATGTCAATTACTACTCAACCAAGTATCTAAGTTTAAAACTTTCCGCTTCTCAGAGCCATTAAAGCGCGCAACAATTTAGTGCTCATGCTTATTTAAGGCAGCATGATTTATTTGCTATTAACGATGTCGTCGTGATTAAATATAATAGCACCCGAGATGAAAACATCTTTAAACTATACTTTTGAACATAAGAACAAAAATGTGGTTAATTCTTACTTTTATAAGGACGCAAATAGGACGAAAAAAGTAATATTTTGATATGAAGTGTGGTTAGATACTAAATAAGTTGTTGTAGAACGAAGATATGAAAAGCTTAGGCAAATAAATATGCTATATAAAAATAATAACACAATAAAGTTTCGCAACTACCTAGTTATAGGAAAAAAACAAAATAAAAGCAATTGCCTTAATGTAATACAACATAAGGTACTTTGGCAAAACGATGTAAAATTTTATCACCCTTTATTCCAATCTAATAATATCTAATATTTATCATAAACGTAAATAAAAATTTACTACACTATTTTTATAAGCAAATTTTAATGAGATTCTTGTAATAGATATATTTGGTATCAATGTACGTCGTCTGCAATGTAAAAAATATGGTAAATTGAATACACTTGCGTAAGATATAAATAAATAAGCAACCGTACAGATTCGTAATGACAGTCACGGCGCTGCGTGCACTCGTTACGGTAACGGGGTTATAAAGCATTAGGTGTAACGAAATAATACTACACACGTATATAAGATACTATTTTCCAAAATTTATAATATAACTAGCTGTCGACTGCGCTTTTCGCACGGTTTAAAAAAAAGTATAATTAGTAAACTATGTGATATCCCAGACTATGATCTATATGTAGACCAAATTTTATGGCGACTCGTTCAGCCGTTCTCGAGATACCTTCAAACTAACATCCCTTCATCAATCCATCCATCCGTTCGCATTTATGATACTAGTATTATTTCCCTGGTACATTAACCTAACTTCTGTACTAAAGGAATAGAGGTTCTTGGTTATTTCTTTAAGTGTAATGTTGACCGCAAAACTGACGCAAACTGCTTTTTCCTGTCATTTACTACATGTAAATAAAATCTAAGAAACTTTAATTTAAAGAGGCATTGCAAAGGTTAAACTAAATAATGGCAACTTTAGACGTAATCATTCTTTTATTTCCTGTTTACGTTTTATATGACAGTGAAGGTACAGAAGTATAGCTCGCTTTCAAATAGTCGTGTTATCTCGGGGCTTGTAAATTTTATCCACTGAGAATCTGCGGCGCATCGTGATTCGTGACGATTGCCTTACGAACATCACACGCCGCACGATATTTTGATGTAACCATACTTATTTTATATTACATACGAAATTAAGTAAAGCTCTTAGAGTATTATGATTGAATCAAAATAAGGATGTAAATTAACGTAATTTTTATAATCTGGATTTCTAATAAGTCTATTTAATTCTATTTATCTAATAACTAACGTGTACTTTGTTGGAATCAAATCGCTATTTCATCAAATATAGAATCGAAATATTATTTTCATAGCTCTTCTTTAACATCCTTTTTGTAGATACCTGTTTAAAGTTTGGACATAAAAATAAAAAGCAGATAATATAATCAATTATTTATTTTACATATTTACAAAAATTACAATTAAAAACTATATTAGTCTAAAAATAGATAAAAGAAAAACTGTAAACGATCATTCTTTTTACTTAAGGTGATAACATAAAATATTAATCGTAAAAAATGGTCAAAAATTTCAAAGAAGTTACGTAATTAGAGTTATGATCTAGACAACAAAAGGGATTCAAAAGAGTTCCGTTTAGAATTATAAATAGTCTCTCTTATTCTATTTCTACAAAAGCATTCCCTTGTCGTCTGTTCAAACGACATAATGATGCATCTCATGACATAAAACTTTCAGGTACACAAAGGAATGGAACAATAGAAATTATATAATGGCAATATTTTTAAATGAAAATCTTCTAAACACTGATAGCTTTATTCCGTAACACATAACCATAGTGACGAAAACAAACTGGAACAGTTTGAAGTAATATTCCAAAGAAATATATTGCTGACAAATCAATGTAAACACTACGTATTTTAATTTAAAAAATCTTTTTATTATAATATTGCATAGCAAAAAACGTAAAGTTTATTTTATGTTTGCTTCGAGATGGGATCAAAATTTTAATATTAAGTTAATATTTGCGGGAAAAGCCAACTTACATTTTAACTAAGCTTATAGAATTTAATACGAAATTAACTTTCGTGTGACAAAATTAACAGTGGTATTTAAAAACTTTGAATTTATTTATAGGCTGATAAATTGCTTAATTGGGCAACAGGTCGTGTCTGTATCAAGGTGACTGGATGTTAAGTACTGAGACCTATCGCTCGCAGGTGTCCGATATGCTCGAGATGTCATCTTGTGTCAGTCAGCGATTGCCTGGGTATGTAATTAATATCCACGCCGTAGCCCTCCAATCACTTAAACTCAATCACGCGAAACGTTATTTTGCTTGTATGTATATCAATAATGTCACAATTCATATCGTAACAATCTATTTTAGTCCTAAACTAACATTGAATAACACAAAATCATTCATTGAAATAACTAACTTCAAAGTGCTTTAAAAACAATATCGAATGTATTTTAAAATTCTGGCACTTTTTACTTATTCTACGCGTCTATATTAAAATCACATTATTAATTCTGTACCGTACACTTTGCCTAATCTTAGCAGATTTTGTTACTGTCTTCAATTTGAAGATTTTTGTTAAATGGCCTTAGGCCCTTTGTACACAAGAAAATGTAAATCTTCGAAGCTATTATTGAGTTGCGTCGCGAGTATAACGCAGCGCTTCATACGCACAACAATGAATCGTAGACGCGAGTCGTCAGTTATAGGAATAGCGACTTCACAGATAGTACGAATTCATAAAATATCAATGTATTGATTTGCTCCGCCATCTTGAAAATCTTAACAAATGGGTTGTGAGCGACTGATTTTGACGACGAAAGAACTAAATGGCCGGATTTCGGAGATTTTCGTTTCCTTGTTTATAACGGGCCTTATATTTCATAGTAACTTGACCACTGACAATTATAATAATTAAATAACTTTATAAAGGTCGTTAATGTCTTGGTTGTACGTATACCGGCCAACGATAAACGGGTCGTGCTGTGCCCTGTAAATAAAAATAAATAAAGACAAAATATTAAACAAAGTTTAACAAAACAATATCAGTAATTTCACTAGTGTTTTCTGTTTTTTTTTACTTTCCTGTCATTGATTAGATTTAACAAATCATTAAGCAACAGTCGAATTAACTATTCTATACTCGAAAAAAGAAATCAATTGAGTCCACCCATATCATTATAATTAATAATAGTTTGCTGTTGAAACATAATTGGCACACACATTTGTAGTATATGAGAAACTAGATAACGCCCGCGACTTCGAGACTGTAAATTATATTTTAAACATCGATATAGATTCAGCCATAAAATAAGAGTAGACTAGGCCGATTGCAGATTGGTTGACATCTGACATATCTTTAAATTTCTTCGAAGATATGTGCAGGCTGTATCACCTTGTTTTCCTTCAGCGTAAGAATGTCGGATATATGTATACATATGTCAATCGAAATTCGAAACACATTAGTACATGGCGGCATTCGCACCCAGGACTTACAGATTACAAGTTTAGTGCTTAATGAGACACCGACGCACTATTAAATGATTTTTTTTAATAAATACTTACTTCTGAACTAATTTGTTGACTACTTTTCGCTGCATCCTTTTCAAACTTCCATTGAACATCACTAGGAGCGTCCTCGTCGTAGGAATCATCGATTTCATTTGTCTCAATATCATTATGTTTCGCATCTTCTTGTTTCTTATGTGTCTTAACATGTGGGTTAAGTTGATACGCGGGTATGAAATATCTAATACCAACTCCGGGTAAGTTTTGTGACGTAAGTATTTGTGCCGGTGTGAAGTAATTCGTAACAGTTTGAGCTTTAAGAGGTTGATTTGGTAGATAGGAATTGACAAAGCTTTGAGCACTGTTAATAGTCTGCGGTGGAACCTTGTAGATAATTTCAGTGTATCTCGGCTGCGGCCTGAAGAATGGAGGTCGCCTGTAAGAAATTGATAAATTAAAAAGTAATTCGATGCATTGTGATGTATGCAATTTGCAGGCTGCAATGCGGGTAAATTAAACGATGCCTTGTTACCTTCAATTACTACTGTTGCATTCAATTAAGACCTCACCCTAATAGTTATTAAATTAACAATAACAGTAATTACCACAAATTTGCACCTAATATATTAAATAATACAAATAAAATTAAATAGTAATCAATATAATATCTTTATTGACCTCGAATAGCTGTTCCTACCAGAGAATCTTGGCAAGGTTATAGAAATGTACTAATGTAGATGGAAAGGAACATTTGCGGCAATTCGTAGTGGAAATTTTTACAGCAAAAAGTGAACGTTTTTTGACAATAACAAAACACTTCACGCCCGCCACCAAGAGGGTTACACAGAGAATATGAATTGCCTTTTGGAGCGGTCCTGGTACACTATTTTCGCATATTTTCTAAATATGATTACACTTTGTTTTTTTACGCTGAATAAGCCAACAATAGATAACTCTAGCTTGTTGTTGCCTTACCAAGTAGCATTGGGATCAGGAGAGTCGTCACTGCGTTCCTCCCAGACCGGCGCGGGTATTCTGTAGGGTTGAGGGGCGGGCGTCGGCTCTGGTGTAGGAGGCTCTATCGGACCACCCTTCGTGCCGTACTTGACCATGATTCCGTGCACACAGCTAGCGTACACTAAGCATGTCAGCAACTGACAAAATAAAATTTACGTATCATTAACAAAAGCTGGAAACACTTATAGATCAAAGTGTATGGAGTTATTTTGTGTAAAAAAATATTTAGTCAATTAGGTTTGTACAGTAAATAATTGTCGTTTTGGAGTTCAAGATCAAAATGTTTACTTATTAATATTTTATTATTTACTTAGAAGTTGTTACCCCTAAAATAACTCTAAGTAATTACTAGAAATTGAAACAAATACACAAATGTATAACATTTTACGAGAATCTGTATTACGTCAGTTTATTGGGTGGGTGAGAAATAAGATTATCTGCAGCAAAATAGAGCCTTCATCGTGTAGTGACTGCAAATTAATTCATTAAAATTCAATCAAGATTAGAAATCTTCATCTCGTAACCTTGAAGTGGTTACAACTGTTTTAGTGATTCATTCCCACGCGAAAAAAATATAAGACACGGAAAATGTAAATAAATTTTCATTATTGCCAAAAAAAGGTCGTAGTAATTATTTGCTAACTGGCTATCGCCTGCGACACTATCCGTGCAGAATTAAAAAAAAAACCTTTTAGAACAGCCTATGTATTCTTCCAGTCAATGTTCTACATCTATGTCAAACTTCTGCGAGGATCTCGCTGTATAGATTATATAGCCGTTCTCGAGATACTTTCAAACAAACATCCGTCCACTGAAACATTCGCATTTATAATATTAGTAAGAAGTAATACGTAAGTTTGCTTGTTTAATATTATAGCATAAATGAATTGAAGAAAATTAACTGGAGAGGTTTTGATTAAGAATAATCCGTAGTGTCGTAGAGGTAAAAGGATCATATTAAATATACAAGTTGCCAAGTTTCGTTCATGCGTATTTTATATGTGAAGAACGATTGAAGCGTAACGTATTGCGGGTAATGGAAAATTATTAATCACCTCGAGCTATACAAATGTTACAATTATAGTTTTTTTACACTTACATTACACAGCACTGTGTCTTAACATCCGTGTATATTTCGATGAGTATTTTTTATAATATCTTTGTTAAATTAACACGATTTTAAAAGGAATTAAAGTAAAATAGATAAATCCTTAAGCTTATTGAATTCGTGTTTATATTTTTAATAATTATTTTTTTAGAATGATCATGTGAGCACAATATGAACATTTGAAATTGATAAAAAAAATTTATGTCAACTAATTTTAATTTAATTATGAAATACAGGGTCTATGCTCCGAATATGATTTTGTCCCATTCGGCGTGCAGACCCTTGGTCCGTGGGTTCCTAGCGCTTTAAGGCTTTTTAAGGAAATATCAAAAAAGTTAATCGACATCACAGGGGACCGAAGAGCTGGCAGCTACCTCGGACAAAGAATTAGTTTAGCTATACAAAGGAAACATCAAAAAAGTTAATCGACATCACAAGGGACCGAAGAGCTGGCAGCTACCTCGGACAAAGAATTAGTTTAGCTATTCAACGAGGGAACACTGCCAGTATCTTCGGAACCTTGCCTAAAGGGACTCCTTTTAGTAATATGTTTTAGTAAATTATTAGTTTTTAATATTTTATTTAATATCATAGATTTAAGACTTTTCATGTAAAATATAGTTATATCTAAGTATTGATGTTAGACGATCTTATTTAATTATGTGATTATAAAGTTATATTCTTAGCACACAAATTGTGTGACTCCTGCCTTAATTACTATCATTGCATTAACAATATAATTAAAGTTGAACAAATGTTGAACGTTTCATCTGATTAGACATCATAAATCTTACCAGTTTTGCAAACGTAGGTAAATAAAAATTAAATTAAAAAAAAATCCACGGCATGTTGTTAATTGTAATACTAATGTTACAGGTCACCATTGTTTTTATTCAAAGTTAGCAAATAGACTTTGTTAACCTTCTTTAAAATTTCGCTTCATTTTTATTAATGCACCTTCAAAAGTTATCAGTAAATCTTGATGATTTTATAAACTTATCTAACCGCTTTTGCCTAATTTATTATGTTAAAGTGGTGTGTGGTAAGCTAAATGCATCAAGTTAGGGGTAATTTATCAATTATTTCTTTCGTAGATCTTATAAAATAGTAATCGAGGAAGGAATAAAAATTTACGTACCTGCAACCGTATGGAATATTTCATGGCTGTTGTTGCCTTTTGTTTAGACTTGCTGTAAAATGGTTCTGTAAAAAAAATAAGAGAAAAGAAATGTTATTATCATAATTTTAATTTCATAATTAATAGTTTTTTTTTTAATATATTAAGAATGATTTGGAAGTGAAAACAAATAGTTCAAATAATAATATGATTAAAAACAGTTAGTGTTATTAGAAGGTACCTAAAATCATCTGCACGCGGCAAAGTTCAAAGAGCACAAAGAGGCTGGCATTTCAAAAGCAGCTCTGTTAATTTTGTAACAAACAATAACATTAAGAAGGTATGTAGGCCTCATAAACAAGTAGTATCAGATAGAGGTATTTAAGATAGGTTGTTTGAAGGATGTTAAATGCGTTTGCATAAATAACGCATATCTTGTAAACTTGATAGCTTAATAGTTATTGTCGTGATATGTAGATAGCAAAATTATGCGTAAGAAGCACTACAATAAAGCAAACACTTTATAATCTTATATATAAGATTCTCGTGTCACAATTTTCGTTCCCATACTCCTCCGAAACGGCTTGACCGATTCTCATGAAATTTTGTAAGCATATTGAGTAGGTCTGAGAATCGGCCAACATCTATTTTTCATACCCCTAAATGTTATGGGTAGTCCACCCTAATTATTCTATATCTATGACAAATTTTAGCTATATCCATAAAGTCGTTTTCGGGATACCTTCAAACAAATGGATGTATGTTTGTCAATAAGTAAGTCCAAAACTGCTAAACGAATCTGAATAAATTTTGGTACAGAGATAAATTACTATCTGGAAAACTTATTAAGATTTTTTCTTTAATTATGCATTGAAGAAGTCGCGGTCAAAAGTTAGATACTCATAATTATTTAAATGGATGTTGAAATTATTAATATTTTTTTTATATTTCAGTTAAATTCAAATCTGAAATGTGTCAAAAATAACGATGATTTATTTCTAAACAAATTGCTTTAGTACATATATATTATACGTCACTTATATTTTTAAATGAAATACCCACATCTCTTTGTACATATGCTCGTGACATAAATACATACATCTTTACACAATGCATTAAAAAGTGTGTCAATGATAATATTTCTGGACATACGTTCAATAATGGAATCATATTTTAATTCAAGGACGACAACAATATTCCGCAAAATACAACACGTAATAAAATCGAGAAGATATACTCTTACGTGATAATCGTTACAAGATTTACAATTTTTTTAATACGAATCTTGTTTTCATATGAGCCAATACTTAAATCAGATTATAATTTTTATCTTAAACAATATATTATCTGTATTTGTAGTATTAGTTATCTGTACATTACGAAGAAAAGTGTCTACTCTTGCTGAATTTCTTTAATGGTCTAGTTTATTTTGTCAACTTTTATATAGTTATTTCCTTTTAAAAATTATTTTTAATTTTTGTTTTTGCAATTATACGAAATAATATTATTTATATTGTATTGAATTGCCATAAGTTACATAAGGAAAAAAAGATCTTAACTGTAATGGCAAACAAGTCTAACGACCGTTCAATTTGTAACTCCTTTATAATTTAACACAAAATCAAAAATTATTTTTAATATTTAAAATTTAAAGTATGCCTTAGATATGTAGACCTTTTACAAAATTTTATTTAGTTTCATCTATCCGATGTTTGTCTTCAAATGATTCAAATTAAATTATAACCACTTCCCGATTTCTAATTGAGCTAAAATTTTCAATTGTAAATCACGTGACATTACAATATTGCGATGACCGGATGCTGTTCTGATGATGGAGCTGGAAGTTGGCTATAGGAATTTCGCAAAGACCTCGTCATGTTAGGGCTCGTTAAATCGTCTTAATTTCTTTAAATGTTTAATTCTTTTAATAAATTAACAACATAATTAAAAATTGTTTTAAAAAGATTTTTCTTCTTTTTAAAATTCGACCAAAAAGTATTATATCATAGTAACAGAATTATATTACATTAATTATTTAATTTACTCATGGAAAAAGTACAGGCACCTTATAAGTCGTTATCTCATTAGTCGATGAGTAATAAATGGAAGAAGTAAGGCAAGTAAGATCTTGGTATGCACCTCGACATCTGAGCAATGCAAGAGCTGTTTATCCTTCTGGTGTTTCATCATTCATACCATTAAAGTATCTAATTAAATCTATATTTAGTAGTATGCTAAGTGTTACAAATGTTTGGATTCCTTTACTTATTTACCTAATTTGTTTCATAATCAATTGGTACAAAAAATAGATGACAATATGCAAGTGGTTGTTAGAGATGTAAATTAATCTTAAGATCTTAAGAATCTTCGAAAGTATGTCTTAAAAACAAACTATTTTTAGTATTAAAAACAAAACGATAAAAACAAACACTGAATAAAACAGGAATTCTAACCACAATCACACTTTTTGAGCTACCAATGTGAATCAACTTTCTTACGAACATTAAATTAGTAAAAATCGCAAAAAAAAAATGTAATCGAAAATGTCCAAAAAGTTTTCTTCCAAAAAATTCTAAAAGTGTCGATAAGTATTAGCTGAATCATGTGCATGTTCTAGCACCTATTCTAGGTATTAATTTCCCCATACCTGACACAGAATTTATAATAAACCGAGTGCTCGTTAAAAACCGCTACGTAATAAACCAGGAACGAACTGAGAACCTTTTAAGGGACGATTGTGACATACTTTTTTATCGACGCGTTCCTTAACAGATGCTATATTTGAATATAAGGAAAGTCTTGATTTTCAATCTCTTAGTTTACATATTATGGTAAACTAACTTCTACTTTTTATAATGTTCCAATTAATTATTTTTCTTCGACTCCTCCCAAAAACAAAAAAAATGGTCTCTAAATCTAAATACAAAGAGCTTGAAATACAAATAAACGAAAAAAAACTACTGTACCGATTTGAAAAATTCTTTCACTTTTGAGAAGCTTCACTATCCTCAGGTATATAGGCTATATTTTAGACATTCTAGATTTTTTTTCTGCGCGGACGTAGTCGCGAGAACTGCTTGTATCTGATAAGTTTTTTTGCAAATAAATATGACATTGTTATTAATTTTTAATACTGAAGTTATATAGTATGCCAATGCAAATGTTTTTGCTATTACATTCCATTAATCTCACAATATTGTTTTATCAGTTAATAACTTATGTCAAAACTAGACTTTATTCCTCTGTGATAAGGTGCAAAGCTGTGTTGAATAAGTTTGTGAATAAATAAAGTGTGCTTAAGCGCCGAGGAAGCGATATAATTGGTGTTTCTCCTTGGCTCAGTGCCTTGACAATGTGTCAAATAACAAAGAGCCAGTATTATACAGAACTTGTAATGTAAATTCATCGCACCCACTCACGCGTACATTGTTGCCCAATAGATTACTGGGTGACAAGTACTTGATACACACGTAAAACACTTCGTTTAGCAGATTAGCGAATATAATAACGTAATTCTTAAGTAACTTGTAATTTAAAATATGTAAGAACTTTATTATTACGACGCAAAGACAGAACTAATAAAAATATATATTAAATTTCCAGATTTTTCTTCGTCTTCATAATTCCTATATCCGATTTAAATGTAATAATAAGTTACTAATATATGCATGTTTTTTATACTGTTAATTGAAAAGGTTAATTAAAATTAATTAATTAATCTTCTTGTTTTATAGCCTAATAGCAGTCGCCTGAACCTCCGTCCGTGAGGAAATAAAAAAAAACATAATTAGTAGCTTATGTGTTATTCCAGATTTTGTTCTAAATGTATCCCAAGTTTCAGCGAGATCCGTTCAACCGTTCTGAAAACATCCATACAAACATTCGCATTTATAATATTACGAGTAGTAAGATGGAAAAATAACACGTTTTATCTCCTAATTTTTTATCGATTTAATAATTACAGAATTTAATTAATCTACAAGATGTGTTATTACATATCTTCATAATGTAACAACTATCAATTTGTCGCGTAAATTGAAATGACATCATAAACATAAGACAAGGTTAACGCGTCCATTTCATTTAAATATAGGTCATTATCAACAGACACATCACGTAAATTGTTCCATTATAATAAACTTAACGTAGTTATTATTTTGCGATTTAAAATTGGCATCGTTTCGTATGTAAAATATATCGAGTTTCATGTTTCACAGGTCGTTCAGAGTTCATGTGATAACTGTCTTTTAAGATAACTTTAAATGATTTTATTGTTTGTATATTCCAATATATAAAGGAAAAATGCAATCTCTGAATCTATATAATGCATTAAATGACAAGAATATAAAATTACTGATCTTATAAGTTTCACAAGTTTGTATGGTTCTGAAGCACTCAAAGAAGTTTCTTATAAGTGCAGAACGCCTTAGAAAATAAAGTAATATCTTCTATCTTACTAATATTATAAATGCTAATGTTAAGAAACATGGATGGATGGATTTTTGTGAGAAGATATCTCCAGAGCGGCTACAAGGATCTCGCTAAAGTTTGGCATTTATGTAGAATATAGTCTGGAAGCACACATTATTTTTCCTTTAACCCATGTCATCATAAATTAAACAATGTTTACGCTTTGGTTAAGTTCATAAAGTCATTTAAAATCTTTAAGATATTAATTATAAAATGACATTCATGTCAAGTTTTTGCCATCGTAAACCAAGTAGTCGATTGAATAAAAAACTATGTTATTGGGTAGCATTAAACATATTATATCGATAAAATCTAGTTGTAATTTATTACTTATTATGGAGATTTAAAACAATATTATATATAAGTTTAATTATTGTGTTTCTATAGAGTAAACTGATTACAGTGTAAATATTTTTCATATGTTATCTGCAAAGTTTACAAGTCACGATTTTTTAACTTATAATTGCTATTGAGAATCGTAATAGCAGAATTTTGTGCAGAATTAATTTAGTTAATGTAGAGTATAGAAGAAATAGAATAGATAAACATTTTAAATTTAGTTTACAATTATAAATTAAAATATACTTAATGTGAATAAGGTATAAAAACAGTATCA